TTGCTGCTTTCAGGGGAGCCGCTGCCCCCCACTTTGGGCTGGAGGCACATCCACACCTTTGGGAGGCGCTGGGCAGTGCCCTCCGCCCCAGACACGCTGCTGACACAGTGTTAGTGCGTTGGCCGATTAAGGCCGGTGCCGAGTGCCAGCCCGGAGCCCCTTCTCTGCAAGCCTTGTGTTCCCATTTCCAGTCCTTTGCAGAAAAGGACCCCTGTGCCTTAGCGGTCCTGTGAATGAGTAATTACAAGGCGGTGAGGTTAGGGTCTAAGGAGATGCCGCCCAGAACCCAAGCACCCATCATCATCCTTATTATCAGGTATCATTGTTAACTTTTATTGAGGTGTAACACTCAATAAAATTGAGGGGCACCTGGGTGGCTCAGTCGGTTGAGCCTTTGCCTTCGGCTCAGGTCACGATCCCAGGGTCCTGGGATCGAGACCCGTGTCTGGCTCTCTGCTCCGTGGGGAGCCTGCTTCTCCCTTCCCTCTGTCTGTTGCTCCCCCTGCTTGTGCTCTCTCTCTGTGTGTGTGTCAAATAAATAAATAAATCTTAAGAAACTACCAAGTTTCTTTAAATTTTTAAAAAATTAAAAAAAATTGAATTTGCTGCTTTCATACTCAACTTTCCCCTTTCTACCAACCCTGCTGCTTGCGGGTTGGAGGGGGGATGGGACCTCCATTCGGTATCATGCTTTATTGCCTGGTCTGGCAAACCATGACCTTTGACATGTGGCCCCCACTGACCGTCTAGTCAATGAAGCCATCTCTACGTGGTGGTCAGTTTCTCTAGTTCCCTGGTCTGCACGGCAACGAGGGACAGCTTGGGTTAAGCCACACGCAGTGTCCACACAAACCAAGGCATATATAGGGGGAGGGGGCTGACAGAATCAATCAGCCAGCCGCTCAGTGGCTGGGAACTCTGGTGGATGGCCCCAGATTTCTGGCAATTGTCTTGGGCGTTGTTTAGAGCACACAGGACCTACTATTACTGCAGTAACCATGTCACTGTACCTAAGGGCAATCAGGCATCCTTGGCAGAATGCCATCCTGCTGGGGCACTGTGGTGGCCACTCTTCCTGTACCCAACTGGCCCTATCCACTCCAGAGTCAGTCGCTAGGGCTTGGCTGCGAGCTGGAGCATCAGCTTCTGGATTGTGAGGGCTTGTGCCTTATGCACCGAGATAGGAAAACCAGAGAGACTGCCTCAGGCTCTTGCAGGTGAACCCAAATGTCTTTCCACATATCCTGGCCCCACAAAGCCTCATTCCTGATCCTCCCCTCAGCTGCCCATTGTCGGAGCCGTAAGGTTAATCCCTTTCGAACAACTCACGGTCAGTGCAAAGGGTGAAAGGCCATGGCTCGTGTGTAATCACTGGCCGGACTACCTTGAGCTCAGCCTGCTGGCTGCTGCGCCCGGCGGCCAGGCGGGGCTCTACCTGGAGGAGCACCGTGTACACAGGCGGGAACCGGGTGCTCTCCGGGGGCGCTGGGTTTCCTCCCTCTTCCAAAGCTGGGACCCAAACCCTCAGGGCGTTGTCCCTCTCTGTTCACCCTGCCACAGTGCCTGGCTCATACCTTCCAGGGGCAGAGACACATCTGACTCAGACAGCAGCCCTGCCTGGGAGGTGCCCAGAGCTTTAATCTGCTTTACTAGTAGTTTTGCCTTCTCAAGGTCGGCTTGCTGCACTGATCCCCAGTCCCACAGGTGCCTTTTCTTTACCAGGTGACATAAGGGACAGAGGCACTATGCCAGGTGGGTATTAAAAGCCATCCCCAACCCCCAAATCCCTACAAAGCCTTGCACCCCCTTCACATGCATAGGGGCTGGGTAGGCTTACCCCTTCTCAATTACAGCTTTGGGGACAACCTGAGTCTTATCAGTCAAAACCCAAAACCTTACAGCAGTGCCTGGGTTTGGGGTTTTCTGTAGGTTTAGCCCCATCGTCTCCTTTGCGGATGTTCCCGCAAAGCCTGCAGGGGGTCCTGCAGCAGAGGCAAATCTTCCCTTGCTAACATTATATCATTAACGGAAAGGGCCCGTTTCATTGGTGCGGGGGAGGAGCACAGGGACAGGTCCCGGCTGCCACCCCACAACAGGTCGTGGGGCGAGGCCTGGGGAAAGTTTCCTCATGCTCCCTCCCACATGGTCTTAGTTATCAGAAACCTCTACTTGTCAGTCTTTTCCAAGAATCTCCTGGAAGATGAAGCTCTTTTGCAGGGAGCCTCTCCAGCAGTCTGTATTTTAAAAACCTACTTTCCTCCTTCTTGCCTTCAGTCTCTGTGGCCGATGTTTTGGTTCTCTCCTGGGGTGTTCGCATTTCAAGCCTGGCCGTTTTCCCAGCACACAGGGGACAGAGAAGGAATGCCAAGTTTTCTCCTAGGATTTTTGGGGCCACTGGGGTCATTTAAAAATTTTTCTTGATGTGAGGGCTCAGACAAGGGGCACAACATTCTCCTCCTCATCTTCCTCCTTTTGCAGAGATTCCACCTCTTAGCAGCCCAGGCAGGCTGTCACGGGGCCGGGTCTTCCCCCAGGGCAGCCTGCACCCTCCCAGCTCTGCAAACAGCATGCTGAGCTCTCCCCGCCACCCCGGCTTGCCTACTGGCCTAAGGCCAGCTGAGCAGGCGATGCCGCACGTCCTTCTCCAACCTCAGCAACTCCCACTTCCCCACTGGACCTGCAGGCTCTGGCCCCGGCCCCGGACTTACAAACCTTACAAACGAGACTTGTCTTGGGTAGCAGCAAGACGGGTGGGTACCCCCGCTGCCCGCCAAATCTTCAAAGTTTATAGAGAAAGAGGCCTTAACTGGGCACAGTCAAGAAGACCGTGCTGGTTTTCAACGTCACGCCATCGTCCGTCTCACAGCTGTCCTCGGGGAGCGGGAAAGGCAGGCCGAACCCACATGCCAAGGACGGGGGAGGGGGTGAGGAGCCTCGGAGTGCCCGGGGCCAGTGCATGGCTCGGCCCGCAATCCCATTTTCCCATGACCTTCCCCAATAATGGATGGACGAGGTGATGGGCAGTTGGGTGGCAGATGGGTGAATTGATGAGGGGGTAGGTGGCCCAGGTAGAAGGGCCTGGGTCTGAGAGATGCCTTCCCTCCCCACCCTTGCCCCAGGAAGTCATTTCCTCAAAATAAGCCCTGGACTGAGAAGGGAGCCCGAGGGATCGAGAAGCATCAGCGGGTCTCCGGGCCACAGTCTGGGCGGTGGGGCCGCTGAGCAGAGAACAGAAGAACCTGCTCATTGAAGACTCTCCGGGGACTTTGCTGCCCTCACCACACCAATCTCGTTCCCTTCTTTGCCCTCTTGGCCATCGGCTGTTGGGGTTCAGATCGGGCACAAAGCCTCCAAGGGAAATGTGGCTCTGGGGGGCCGCTCTGGGGCGAGAGCAGCCCCAGAATGAGACCCTCGCTCGCCTCTAACTGGTGGAGCAGGGTCGCATGACTGCCTCCTGTCTGCAAGAGTCTGCCTCCCACCTTCCACCTCTAACCTGGGGAGGCGGGTCCGAGAGAGGCCACGGGCATCCCCTATTCGCTCCACCCTTCCCAGGTCCCCTGTGTTCCTCTCTCGGGCATGGCTGCGCAGGCCCAGGCTAGAGACAGTGTCATCCAGACATGGAAAAAATTTTGTCCTGCTGCTTATGACCCAGTAATGCAGAGCTGTTCAGAGAGCCTGGGACTTGTCCAGGCCTCAGCCCAGCTGTTCCCTCTGCCCAGGGCGCCCTCCCTCTACCTCAGCCCCATTGCCAGCTCCACTTGGGGTCTGCATCTCCCACCCTCTTGCAGCCGCTCCTCCACCTAGAGGGCTGGGTCCACATCGCTCCGGGCCACAGCGGTACCGGGTGCCCTGGGGCCTGTCCCTCGACTTCTCGGGGTCTCCGTTCCTTTCTCTTCTACAACGGGGTTCCCACTTCCCTCTTAGAATTGGCGTGAGGGTTAAATGGGACCCCCACTCTGGGGCACCGTGGAACCGCACCAGAGTCCTGTTGCCCCGAGGCTGAGCTGTGGTCCCAAGAGTAAGAGTACCCAAAACACTGAGCCATCCTTGGCCTCCATCTCGTTCGCATCTGCTCGATGACCTCTCTTGGGGGGCACGTGTTCTGGGCCCCTCGGAGATCAGTACCCCTACCTTAGAAATACCCGCCAAGGCTCGGATCGGGGCAGGCTGGCTTTGGCCTCCCATGAATCTGTTAGCGATAACGTGGTGTCTCCCCTCCCGATGCACGGGTGGCACCACATGATCTCGTTAAAGGTCAGCTGTCAGGTGCACACGAGCCCTTTGCGGGCACTACGGTGTCCTCCTGGGCCCGCCCTCGCTGTGTGAAATCCGCGGACTAAGGTCCAGACTTCGAGGAAAGTAACCGCACACCAGGACCATCGTCCATCGCTTGATGGCCTGTCAGGGAGTCACCCTGAGTAAACTGTGTGGGGTGGCCAGCTTCGTTTTCTGGCCTCAAAGTGCCTTCTCAGTTTGGGGGATACTTTACTGCTCCTCCCCCACCTCCAGCACCAGGGTCCCTTCAGGCTCAGGGGTCAACGTCAGGCCTCGGGGCTGGATCCGCGGTGGTAACAGGTCAGTCCAGAGTAGGTCATTAAGAGAAGCCACACCGTGTCGTTCTGCCCCGACAGGTTCTGACTCCTCTCTGGGCCTCAGTTTCCCCAGCTGTAGTGAAGAAGTGGGACCCGTTAACCCTCCCAGTGCCCCTGCCTTTGGCCAGGCCGAGGTCTGCGGTGCCCGTGTGTTTGCCCAGCTCGTGACTGCCTCTTCATTCCCTCACTCCTCCTAGGCCGGGAGAGAGCCTCACTCCCGTTCCATAGGCAGGAGCCAAGGCCCAGAGAAGGCACTGGATATCCCCAAGTCACACAGCTCGTCAGGGATGGGTGTCAGAGCCAACCAGGGCCGGGCCCCCCCCCCCGCCCCGGCTCCTGGGGCTCAGAGGTGTGACCCAGCGCTGGCTGCAGGCCCCGGGGGAGCTGCAGAGACTCAGCGTCTGCACCATGCCCGTGCTGGCCAAGCCGGCAGCCCAAGCGGCCCGCCGCCACTACAAGGGCCGTGACCTCAACCTTCACCAGCACCTTCCTCACCCGGAGTGTCCTCGCTGCTGGGCGGCCCTGCCCAAGACTGAAGTCCGCGCCTCAGACCGGCCCCTTCAGCCACCAGCAGGCCACATCCTCTGCCCGAGATGCCCATTCTTCCCTTTCCGGTTCAGAAAAATCCAGACTGATGTCACCTTTTCCAGGAAGCCCGTTCTGACCTCAGGCTGGTCAGGGCCTTCTGAGTTCCCCAGACCCAAGGTTCACCTCCGATCAGCACCACAGGCTGTGTTTGCCTGTCTTGTACCCCCACCGCCGTTCACACCTTCCTCTAGTAGGTATTCGCTGAGCCCCACCTCTGAGCCAGGCTTTGTCCAGCTCAGGTGAAAAAATGGGGAATAAGACCGAGGTGTTGTCCCCAGCCTGCTGGGGGAGATAGAGGAAGAACCCAGCAACCACAACCCAGGAGGCTAAATGTAGGGGTGGGGACAACATGAAGCATCTAACGTGGCCACGGGTAGCCAGGGAAGGCTTCTTGGAGGAGGTGGTATCTCAGCCAAGCCCCAAAGGGTGAGTAGAAGTTAACTAGGTAAAGAGAGGAGAGGAGATTCCAGGAAAGGGCCCAGCATGTGCGAAGGCCTTGAAGTGCGGCTGGAGTGAAAGCTGATGGGGCAGGTGGGCAGGCAGGTAGGGCTGGGCTGAGGGTTTGGACTTGATGGGGCCAGTGGGGAGCCAGCGAGGGCCCTAAGCAGGGTAGGAACGGCCCTGGTGGAAGAGCCCTTGAGCTGCTCTGTCTCTCCTGCAGGGTCTTGGGGACGTCACTCCTGCGCGCAGCATGAGGCTGCCCTCCCATTAAACCCCTGTTCCCTAACTGAGACTGTGAAAGGGTTGATACCCCCTTCCTGTTCCTGCAGTGCCAGGGCCAACCTGGCTGATCCATACCAGGTGACAGGGGCTGGAGAGCCGAACCAGCTGCTGGGGCCCAAGGCTTCAGGCCAGCCTTCAACTTTGTCTTTGACCTGCACAACACCACGGCCAGCACGGGCACCTGTCTTATCACGGAAGCTGCTCACAACATCTCTGTCAAGCACCTGGGCTACCACCTACAGGTGGCCCTGCCCCCCAGAAGGCAGAGGGAGGGAGGGTGGGGAAGGGGTCATTTGAAATGGTGCCACTGCCTCTTGGATCCCCTTCTCTGGGCGTCAGTCCCTGGGGGGCCTGCCACCTGCAAGTCCACCAGACTCTCTGGTCCCTTCCTTCCCTGCTTTCTGTCGGTGGGTGGTGCCCTGTGCGCCCTCCATGCTCTCCCCATGCCTCCCAGGTAGGCGTGGGGCTCTGCCCCACCCCTTCCAACCCCAGCAGGAGAAGGTTTACTTACACCCTGGCCTCCATGGCCAAGGACAGAATGCGTGGGTTGCGACCTCAGGAAAAACGGACGAGGGGGTGGGGCCTAGAAGGGCGGGGCCAGGGCCTGGGGCCCTCTGGGGGCGCCAGCCTGACCCCTCCCCTCCCAGTCCCCAGTCCTGGAGCTGGGACCCCAGCCTCAGGGCGTGCTGCGGGCAGACCTATTCACCAGGATAAGGACCCTGTGGCCAAAGTCCTGGACTTCATCGAACTCTTCAACCAGGCTGAGAGCTGTGGGGACTTCGGGCAAACTGAGGCCCAGAGAGGCGAGGGCCTGGCCCAGGGGCCATGGAGCCAGGTTCACGGGGGGGGGGGGGGGGGGGGGGCTGGGAACCAGCCCTGCGTGGCCCCCACGGCCCACTCTGCCCTGGGCCTGGAGCCAGGGACAGGCTCACACACCCAGCCTTTGGCACAGGCGCGGCCTTTCCTGCTTTGGAGCTGGAAGCCAATAGAACCGTGGGCAGCGTGGACTTCCCACGTGCACGGAGGCTGGGGACCCGGCAGGCACCGTGCACCCTCAGCTGCCAGTGTGTTATGGTGGGGAGACTCCTGGGTCACAGCTTTGTTATCAGGGGAGACTGAGACCCAGAGGGAGGGACCTCAGGTGCCTCCCACAGAGTCATCAGGACCTGAGAATCAGGATCAGACAGGAGGCTGCCCCCCACACCCTGCCCCTACTGCCTCCCTGGAACCCCACAAGCAGGCCTGGCACTGAGGGTCACGGAGATCTGCACAGCACCTGCAAAGGGCAGGAGGGGGCCCCTCAACAGCCTGGACAAGCCTCCCCCGGCCGCAGACGGAGGAGGGCAGGGATCTGGGGCAGCCACCGCCCAATTCACCTGCCTGGAGGCACAAAGATGGAACCCTCTCTTTGTTTTCCAGTTAATTCCTCGAGCATCCCTCTGCACGTTAGGGAACCCAGCAAATCCTTCTTTCTGCAGGCCTCCCCTTCCTGAATGTTACAGGAGTCCTGCTTCTACATCTGGCAGGGAGGAGATGGAGAAGCACGGGCAGCCCACCAGCTACCGCTCTGCCTGCTGCCACGTGGGGTCGCTGTCGAACAAGGTGCATACCCTCCGTGGCCTGTGCGTCCTGCAGTGTCCACGCGGCGGGGCTGCCCACGCCGGGTGCCCAGCCCTAGCCTCCTTAGTAACTGTTCCTCAAGACTCCCAACTGGCCTTGGGGTACGGGAGAGGCCTCAGAGGGGGCCACATGCTCTGTTGGCTCCAGCCCTCCCCCGTCCACCGCAGCGATCTGCTCCTGAGCCCCGTGAGCCGCCATAGCCCCCTCCTTCTAAGATGAGTTCTTGTGGGCCACGGGGTCCTCTCCTGCCGGTGGAACTCAGGTGGGGACCCCCCAGTATGAGAGATGAGCAAATGTAATACTGAGCTTCTGCAAAGATGGTTCTCTGTCCCAGGGCCCTCCACCTCCTTCCTCCATCAGCCCTGTCCATCCCTGTGGGGACAGCAGGGTGGGCTCCGGCTCCCCCCCGCAGCAGAACACCCCCCACCCCCGCCGTGGGAATGGCCAAGCCTAGGAGTGACCCAGCAGACAGACCTGCCACGTGCTGAGGGCACCGCAGAGCACTGGCCCAAAAGAAAAAGAAATATTGGAAAGGCTTTGACATTTCAAAAATTGTTTAAAGAACCGAAGTAACACTTGTAGGAAAAATCAGAACTTGGTTGGATTTTTTTGCTCTTCTTACAGCTTGTGTTTTATCCTGAGGTGTTCTCTGACTTGTAACAACATTGTGGTGGAGGGGGCACCATCTTTCTAGGGTTTAGGGCTGGGGCCCACTTCCTTACAGATGCTAAGCCATAACAGTTATTTTGAGTGATTTCCACAATTATTTCTTTATTTTTATTATTTATTTATTTATTTATTTGAGAGAGAGAGAGCATGAGTGGGAGGGGCAGAGGGAGAGGGAGAGAGAGAGAAACTCAAGCAGGCTCCGTGCTGAGTGCAGAGCCCGACGTGGGGCTCGATCTCACGACCCTGAGGTCGTGACCTGACCAGAAAACCAAGAGTTAGTCGCTCAACCGATGGCCCCACCCAGGCGCCCCTGACTTCTTCCCTGATTTAAAAATTTGGTAAACTTTTGTATTATTGTTATTATTTATTTATTTTTTTTTTACCAAGAGTAACCAAATTCCAGTTTATTAGGGTTACCCACAAGCCATGCACTGGCTTCTCTTGATTTCTAGGAAAAAATGTAGACACCACAGCTTAAAGTTTTGTCTTAGGACTTTCTCCAAATTGTCCTCATGTCTTCATCCGCAACCCAGCCTGCTTCCTCTATCTTCTTGCATCCAAAACTATATAAACATTTTTTTTAAAGCTCCTTTGCATATTCAATGACTTCTATAAAATTGCAGGCCTTTTTCTTATGAACTTCTACAAAGCCAAAATTTTCCCTTCATGTACTTAACTACATATTCTAATGTATATACTGGACTTTCTGATTATTCCTGTAAATTTTTGTCTTTTAGCCTATTAATTAGAATTTGGAATCCTAACTCTCTAGGTCAATATAGTAGGTTATAGGTACTACAGTTTATGACACCTGAAAATTTCAAAAGTATTTCTCATGGGTCTTTATCCAAGTTGTTGAAGAAAATGTTGAATGAGAGAAGGTCCAGGACTTCTGTGATCTCTCTCCAAGTTAAAACCAATCTTATCAGTACTTGGGTTTAACTTTTGAATCCACAATAAATAAATTCACTCAACTATTTTGCAGGGAAGAGATTGTTGTTCAGTAAATAGAGCAATGGACTGAGATTCCTATGAACATGATTCTGAAACAAACTTTGCCACCGACTTTGTCAAGTTAACTAACTTCTCTTGAACTTATTTGGAAAATGAGAGGGCTCCATTTCCAAAATTCAAGTATTCTATCATCCGGTTCATATTTCCCCACAAAAAGAGATAATATTGTACTATCTCTTTAAGTGCCCATTTTCTGTCTCAAGAGACAGGGCAATAACATTTCTCTTTGGCCTAATTCAGCAGAAGTAAGTCCTACAACATGCTCAAGAATAGAGTCTAATTTCAATTCAGTCCACAAACATCTGTTAAGTGCATACTATGTCAAACATTATATAAAAGAGCCTCTAAAATAAATCACCAACAATAAAAAACAAAGTTAACTAGAAATAAATCCCGCATTCCCAGACTTTGGATCTGTGCCGCACTATGGAAGCATGTCTCAGCCTCCTTTCCACGGACACTAGCCATTGCAGTTACCACAGCATCAGTGTTTATGCATTTCATTAAAGGACTATGTCTTGTCCCTGAATTCTCTGAGATATTCTCTCATTCTTTTTTTTCTTTAAATTTTTTATTGTTATGTTAATCACCATACATTACATCATTAGTTTTTGTTTTTGTTTTTTAAAGATTTTATTTATTTATTTGAGAGAGAGAGAATGAGAGATAGCACGAGAGGGAAGCGGGTCAGAGGGAGAAGCAGACTCCCCCCTGAGCAGGGAGCCCGATGTGGGACTCGATCCCGCGACTCCAGGATCATGACCTGAGCCGAAGGCAGCCGCTTAACCAACTGAGCCACCCAGGCGCCCACACCATTAGTTTTTGATGCAGTGTTCCATGATTCATTGTTTGTGCATAACACCCAGTGCTCCACGCAGAATGTGCCCTCTTTAATACCCGTCACCAGGCTAACCCATCCCCCCACCCCCCTCCCCTCTAGAACCCTCAGTTTGTTTTTCAGAGTCCATCGTCTCTAACGGTTCGTCTCCCCCTCCGACTTACTCCCCTTCATTCTTCCCCTCCTGCTATCTTCTTCTTTTTCTTTTTCTTAACATATATTGCATTACTTGTTTCAGAAGTACAGGTCTGTGATTCAACCATCTTGCACAATTCACAGCGCTCACCATAGCACATACCCTCCCCAATGTCTATCACCCAGCCACCCCATCCCTCCCACCCCCCCACCACTCCAAGTAAACTTTTATATTATATTTACTGTGTGTCAGACACTGTTTTAAGCACTACTAATGGTTTAATTTAAACCTCAGGATGATAGGAGAAGATACTGTAGTTCCTATTTTACAGTCGAGGAAGCTGAGGACCAGAGAGGTTAAGTGACTTGCTCAAGGTCACACAGCTTGCAAGGATTTGAACCCAGGCTTACTATCTGTGCCTTAACCACTAGGTTACACTTCCACAGTGACAACTGTCTTTCTAAGGCGACTTGTGTCTCCATTTCTAAACACAGGGTCTAGGGTAGAGGTCGGCCCCAGCAACCTTGGCCCTTGGCTCTCTTCCCATGACTGAGACTTCCAGCTACTGTCGCCCAGTATGGCCATCTTCCAGATGTTCAGTGATGAGGATGTGCTCTATGAGGGGGAGTCCGCTGTGTACCCCGTGTTCATCACGAGGCCACCTACTGTGAGAGGGGCATTGCCTCCCTCCAGACTAAAAAGCTCATATTCTCTGTGCCTGCCCTTGCCCCCACCCTAGGTCCCTCACCCACGCCAGGCCTGCCCAGGCTCAGCCCTCCCACCTGAACAGTGGGTCCTGAGCCACAATCCGGAGCCCAGGACCCCTCTTTGCCGCTTGCTGTATACCCTGTTTCTTGCCATGCCCCATACTTCCGTGCCTCAGTTTCCCATCTATAAAATGGAAGATGTCCAGGGGTTAATGGCTTTTGTCCTCTGTCCTGCATGGTCTCTCCGTGATCTCAGGATCTGGGGCAGGTCTGGCCCAGCATGGTCTTGGACATGCTGTGTGCCCCGGAGATAGCAGTGGCTGTCTCTGTACCCACGCTTGTCTATCAGTGCCCAGGGGGAAGATCCCACTTGGAGAAAAACTGTCCTGGAGAAAACAGAGGGGTCCCCCCAACCTGCCTTCACTCCCAGGGCCCGGGAGTCAGTCTGAGAGAGCAGAAGCTTGTGTCCATGTGCACATGTGTGTGGGTGACCATGGGTGTGCCTGCCCAGGTGCTGTGTGTGTGTGTGAATGCACACACATGTGTTTCTAAGACCAAAGTACCTTGGGCGTCCTTCTGGGGGGATCTGTATGTGGCTGGGCACAGCCCTGATGTGCGTTTCCAATGTGTAATGTGCCCAGTGACCATGGGGGCTCAGGGGGAGTCGGGCTGGGGAAGGGGGAGAGCTCAACAAGGCTTTCTGCACCAGGACAGACCGCCCAGGTGCAGGGACAAGGGAAAAGGTGCCTTGGCTCGGGGTAGGGGAAGTCCTACCAGGGAGGCTGGATGGAACTCCTCAGCACCCCAGGAAGGGGCGGGCACAAGGTCTGCTGCTGGGGTCCCCTCAGTCCTGACCCAGGCACTCTGCAGGGGGTCCTCGCAGGCCAGACTGGACACAGCCTGACAGCTTCCACACCCACCTAAGCCTGACAAGGTGCCTGGGGGGCCCGGCGCTCCGTCCCCGGGCAGCGTCACTGGCCCCTCTGCACCCTCGCCTGGCCCATCCATCTCCCCGCGGCCACAGCTGCCACGCGGCCTCCTGCTATTGAGCAGCAAGATGAGAAGGTGTGAAGGATATGGGGGCACCCGGGACGGGCTGGCAGGCAAGATGGATGAGGGGGCAGGGGGGCCAGCAGGCGCCTCGGGCAGGAAGGGCAGGCCAGCCGGGGAGGAGGCTGTGCAGAGAGGTGCGCCTGTGTGCACAGTGTGTGTGCAAGAGAGCTGTGTGTGCATGCACGCAGGAGCTTGTGCACGTGTGCACAGGGCATTGGGCCTTGAGTTCATCTGTGTGCGTGTGGGTTGGCGTGTCAGTGTGCTCACACACGTGTGGAGGGGTGTTTTCCATCACACAGACCAAAGTTGAGTGCAAGTACACACACACACACACACACACACATCAGTAGCCAACAGAACCCCAGGCCGGCCCACTCCTGGGAGTCTAGGCTGATGGGGAGCCACCAGGTTGGTGGGAATCTCCCAAGCCCCTCCATCATCTCTCCCTTCTCCCAACGGTCCCACTGTGGATCCCGGGACAGTGTGGCCTGTCCGGCCACACCCCACTGGGTGGCCCCTGAGAGCCGTTGGGACCTTCACAAGCACAGAGAAGCCCCCTATCTTGCCCCAGTGCAAACAGCAAAGCTGGGCATGGGTCTAGGCCAGGGATCCACCCGCCTCTCCCAGCTCGGCTGGCAGGAACCTGGGGTATAGGAGACCGAAGCAGGCGGCATCCCTAAGCTGAAGGGAAGAGAGGTCGGCCCCCTGGTGTGGGGCTCTGGGAGGAGCCGGGTTGTCCTACTTGGAAAGAAGCAGCCCCTCCAACCCTCGGTCCCTCCATGGCCACTCTCAGGTATGGGCCTCTGCCCACCGCACATCCCCAGGAGAGGAGGTGTGTTGGGGGAGGGGTGTCTCACCTGCCTTGGGGACCCCAGCACAGCCTGAGGTGCTCTCACCTAGCACTGGCCTGGGGGCTCAAATACCCCCTTCCAGAACGGGCTAGCTTGGAGTCCAGCCCGATAACCCTCCCTGGGCTGTATGGCAGGGATGAAATGGCCAAACAGCACTGTCAAGTGATAGCAACCAATTTGGGGGTGCCCCACCCCCCTGTGCCTTCCTCACTGGCGATCCATGTGTCCCTGAATGGCCGGCCTGGGCAGGAGGGGCAGCCTGGACAAAGTGCCTGGTCAGGCTGGGGAGAACAGACAGACCAGTGACCTCTGACCTGGGCCAGGCTCCCACCCTGTGGGGACTATGTAGGCCCTGTCAATCAGGATAGGAACAGCTTACTGCTGTCTATCCCAGATAGAAGAGATTATGCACTTATTACAGTTGGGGAAACTGAGGCACGGGGACCATCAGGAAGCCACCAGCTTTGTACAGCTTATGGGTCGGAGCCATCAGGGGCTCTGCCTCTGCCAGTGCTTGTCGACGCTGCCCCCTTGTGTTTGCTGCCCCAGTTGCCCAGGCCACGCCGCACCAGCAGCCCCAGGTCAGGGGTCAGGGGTCAGGGTCCCCATGAGAGGGCAGCACCTCTGCCATCCAGCCCTCATGCTCCTGCAGCCTCCCCAGCCTCCCCAGCCTCCCCCAAGCCCTTTAGGCTCCGAGCCCCTCCAGTCACCAGGCCAGGGTCCCTGCGGACCACCCAACAGGTGCTCAAGATGGGCCCCCACCCTGCACCTGGGTCCATTGATCAGGCACGGCTGGGGGTCTCCTAGCTGGGGAAGGGAGGGAGCTGGGAGAGCGGACCAGGAGGGGGAGAGGAGGATTTGCAACGTCAGAGCCTTCCCGCCTGCCCTCCTCCCACACGGCACCACGCCTGGAGCTGGACAAGCCCCGCCAGCCTCAGTCCAGTCTGAGCGTGGCTTGGAGAAGGGGCTCTGCCTCCCCCGCAGAACCGGGGTCCCACCTGCAGAGACCAGGTGCCCAGCTCCGGTGGAGAATCAAGACCCGAGCGATCACTCTGAGGGAAGGACAGTCCTGCAGAACGGAGCCGCGCTGCTGAGCAGGGCTCCTCTAGGAGCCAACGTCCAGGCTGTCCCCATGGCAGGTACGGTGTAGGCAGCCAAGGTGGCCCCACGGCTGGGCTCAGGCTCTGGGGTGATGGGGAAGGGCAGGGATTGGTGTGGGGACCAAGGAAACCCCGCTGGACCCAGGTCCTGGGCCAGAGGGTGGGGCAGGGGCACCCCACACTGAGGCCTCAGATCCCACCAGGGCAGGGCTGATGGGCTCACAGCCACCCAGGTACAAATATAGGGGGGCTGCCGGGCAGGGGTAATGAGTCATTCCGGGGAAGGGAAAGCCTTTTCAGGCATGGGTGACCTTGGGCCTGTCCCCTCCCCTCTCTGGGCTTCACCCATTGAGGATCAAGTTTGTGGGGGTGGGGGAGGAGCTGGACAAGAAGCTTCTAACTCCCTCTCCTGACCTGCCTCCATGCTTGTGGGAAATTGTCAAATCCCGACCCCAAGGGATGCCTACTTTTAGAGGAACGAGGCAGAGAACAGGCCCCTCCCGAGTTCCTGAGAGCACTGAAGGGTGGCCTGTTGACCGAGGTGGGCAGAGGATGGGCTCGTCGAAGACTTGGGAGCCAGCGACCAGCCTGCAAAGGCCCCAGGCCCAGGGAAGCCCTGAGACTCTCCCTTAGGGACCAGCACCATGGATCCTGGAGCACTGGTTGCCTGGATGATGGGCCTGCCCCAGCAGGGCCTTTGAACAATGGACAGTTGCCCCCATCTGACGGCCTGGTCCAGGTGCTGAGGGACCTCAGCCCCTGTAGCCTTCCTGCGCCTCTGGGGAATGGACAGCTGATGTGGCCCCTCCTTCTCAGAGAGACCCACCCACTCCCAGACCACAGAACTCCCAGGGGCTTTCGTGAGGGGCCACAGGCCAAGCCCCACGCTCAGATGAGGCACCTCCTGCGCACCGGCTCTGGCTAGGGTGCGGCTAGAAACTAATAGTCAGTGTTTCAGGACTTTTTTTTCCTAGTTTTAATTTTTAAATTGTGGTAAAATGTACATAACCTCAAAATTTCCATTTTAGCCATTTTTAAGTGTAGAGCTCCGGGGCATGAAGGACATCCACACTGTTGTGCACCCAGCACCACCATCCGTTAGAACTCTTGCCTCTCACAAAACTGAAACTCTGTCCCCATTAAATGCCCACTCCCCTCCCGCTCCCTCTGCCCCTGGCAACCACCGTTCTCCTCCCTGTCTATGAATCGGACGATTCATGGAATCACACAGGATTTGTCCTTTTGTGTCTGGCTTGTTTCACTTAGCGTAACGTCCTCAAGGTCCATCTATGTAATGGCACACTGGAGAATGTCCTTCCTTTTTAAGGGGGAATAATACTCCGTTGTCTGGGTAGGCCATAGTTTGCTCATCCATTCACCCATCAGTGGACATTTGCGGTGCTTTCCCCTTTTGGCTATTGGGAACAGTGCTGCTGTGAACACTGATGTACACCTACCTATCTGTTCAGGTCGCTGCCCCCAGTTCTTTTTGTGCAATTCTCCATTTCTAGGTAAATGCCTAGAAGTGGAATTGCTGGATCATATGTCTGGTCATTCTGTTCTCTAGCAGCCGCACCATTTCCCATCCTGCCAGCAATGCACACAGGGCTCCAACTTCTCCACATCCTCACCGACACCGGCCGCGTGTTTTTTGCTTTGTTATTGGTTTTTGTTTTGTTTTTGGTAATAGCCCTCCTTGTGGGTGTAAAGTAGTATCTCATTGTAGTTAGGATTTTTTTTTTAAAGATTTTATTTATTTATTTGGCAGAGAGAGACACAGCGAGAGAGGGAACACAAGCAGGGGGAGTGGGAGAGGGAGAAGCAGGCCTCCTGCGGAGCAGGGAGCCCGATGCAGGGCTCGATCCCAGGACCCTGGGATCATGACCTGAGCTGAAGGCAGACGCTTAACGACTGAGCCACCCAGGCGCCCCAGGATTTTTTTTTTTTTTTAAGAGTAGAAGGTGGCAAACTTTTGGCCAAGGCTTGTGCCAGGACTGCATATCAAAAACTGGAATTTTTAGGAAAAAGGGAGGAGGCCAGAGCAGAAAGATGTTAGGATGGGCTGCTGGAGGCAG